ACGTGTATGTATGTGTGAGTGGGCATGTGTACGTGTGTGTGTGTGCTTACGGATTCAGAGAAAACCAATTTCTTATTGCTTTCTCTTCGCAACGCTCATTTTAATAGGTTTTATATCGTTTTCTTTTAGACTCTGTATTTTTTTTTCCCCGAGAAAATAATGCCTGGTTCATTGCCCGGCCTCCAACTCATATTGTACGCTGTTTGCTTACAAACGGCCAATACCAAGAAACATGTGAATGGCAGATTGAACTAAACATGCCAGACAACTAATTTCGGACGTTATTATTTCCGAATACGGAGGTTTGGCGAGGAAACGCGAATGCCGAAACCAGAGAATTATTCAAGAAGAATGTTAGGAAAATGTGATTTCGAGGAAAATGCGGGAAATAGAAAAATGAAAGACGATTACTGGTGAATAAGGAAGACATTGGAAGGCTGGCAATCGAAAGGCAAATAACGAAAAAGAAGAAATGAATTTGACTGAATTTAAGGGCAAATTTATGGGAAATGAAATAGACGGGAGATTTTGAAATATTGCGAAAAACATGATAAACAGAGAAAATGTAATGATCAAAAAATCAAGAAAGAAAGAAATAATTAGGGAATTAGAGAAAGAAAAGAAAGAAAGAAAGAAAGAAAGAAAAAAAAAAGAAAAGAAAGAAAGAAAGAAAGAAAGAAAATGAAAAAAGAACGAAAGAGAAAGAGAAAAGAACGCTAGAAAATGAAAAAAGAACGAAATAAATTACTAGAAATGAGAAAAAAGAAAGAAAGAAAAGAAGAACTAAACGATGAAGAAATGAAGAACAAAAATAAAAAAAAACGAAATAAATTACTAGAGAATGAAAGAACGGAAAAGAAATGAGGAAACAAACGAGAAAAACTAGAGAAAATGAGGAAAGAGCGAAATGAAAAAAAAGAACTAGAGAATGAAGAAAAGAACGAAATGAAGAACTAGAGAACGAGAAAATGAGAAAAGAAAGAAATGAAGAACTAGAAAATGAGAAAATAACGAAGAACTAGAAAATAAAAAAAAAGAACGAAAGAAATTACTAGAGAATGAGGAAAAGAACGAAAAGAAAGAAAAGAAATGAAAAGAAAATGAATGAGGAAACGAAAATGAAAAAAGAGAAAAGAAATTACTAGAAAAAAGAGGAAAAAATGAGGAAACGAAAAAGGAAGAACTAGAAAATGAGAAAAAATAACGAAAACTAGAAATGAGAAAAGACGAAATTACTAGAAAATGAAAAAAAGAACGAAATAAATTACTAGAGAATGAGGAAAAGAAAAATAAAAAAAGAACGAAATAAATTACTAGAAAATGAAAAAAAAAGAGAAAAAAGAAATGAAAAGAACGAAAGAGAGAACTAGAAAATGAGGAAAATAACGAAATGAAGAACTAGAAAATAAAAAAAAGAACGAAATAAATTACTAGAGAATGAGGAAAAGAACGAAATAAATTACTAGAGAATGAGGAAACGAACGAAAGAGAGAACTAGAAAATGAGGAAAATAACGAAAGGAATTACTAGAAAATGAACTAAAAAAAAAAGAACGAAATAAATTACTAGAGAATGAGGAAAAGAACGAAAGAGAGAAAAGAGAAAATGAGAAAAGAACGAAAATGAAATTAAATGAAGAAAAATGAAAAAAGAACGAAATAAATTACTAGAGAATGAGGAAAAGAACGAAAGAAAGAAAAAGAGAATGAGGAAACGAACGAAAGAGAGAACTAGAAAATGAGGAAAATAACGAAAGGAAGAACTAGAAAATGAGAAAAAGAACGAAAGAAATTACTAGAAAATGAAAAAAAGAACGAAATAAATTACTAGAGAATGAGGAAAAGAACGAAAGAGAGAACGAGAAAATGAGAAAAAGAACGAAAGGAATTACTAGAAAATGAAAAAAGAACGAAAGAAATTACTAGAGAATGAGGAAAAGAACGAAAGAGAGAACTAGAAAATGAGAAAAAGAACGAAAGAAATTATTAGAAAATGAAAAAAGAACGAAATAAATTACTAGAGAATGAGGAAAAGAACGAAAGAAAGAAAAAGAGAATGAAGAAAAGAACGAAAGAGAGAACTAGAAAATGAGGAAAATAACGAAAGGAAGAACTAGAAAATGAGAAGAAGAGGGAAAAGGTGAACTAGAGGATGAGGGAAAAACCAAAAGAGAAAAGAGAAGAGAAAACTAGAGAATAAGGAAAAGAACGAAAGAGAAGACTAGAGAAAGAGGAAAAGAAAGGAAGGATAATTTAATAAAAGAAAGAAAAGCTTAAAGAGAAATGCATGTGAAAGTGAAAGTATTAGCGAACGAGAAGAAAATTTAGAGAGATAGAAATAAATAAATAAAGAAACCAAAACGAGAAGGAGGTAAAACGAACCAAAAATTGTAAAAAAAACAGTGAAAAATAAAAGGTGAATAGATAATTAATAAATAAGTAAAGAGAATATGGCCATGAAGAAATGACTTATGAAACACGAAAGAAATAAAATAATCCATTGGAGCGGCATCAGCAAATAATAAAAACTATAATTATTAAATAAATTAATATTAACTATATAGATACATAAATAAATTAAGAAAGAAAGAAAGAAAGAAAGAAAGAAAGAAAGAAAGTGTATTAGAAGATATAAATCAAAATATCTATTTGGTTGGATTGATGTGAGTTTGTGACCCTGGGTTTCACGCTTTTGCGATCGTCAGGCAAACTGATTAATTTTTAAAAAAATTGGTTCCAATCTTTGAATTTCAACATACAAATGCGTATGTATCGACATAACACCACCCATATACATACATATGTCAAATCCGAAATTGTCCACATATGTTTATATATGTATGAGTCCCGACGGACAAGCAAGTGTGTGTGTCTGCGTACCTCAGCGGGTGTACGGATATGCATCTATGTTTGCGTTAGCACGATGACATCACGACGACGATTCCCCCCACTTCCATAATAACAGCAATATACGCAATCTACATAAACACAAATTTTTAAAACATTAATCAGTGTGTCTGACGATCGCAAAAGCGTGAAACCCAGAGTCACAAACTCACATCTATCCAACCAAATATGTTAGCTCTATCTCTGATATTGAGCGCTTTCTAATAAGTACCATACATATAATATATAAATAATTATATATATATATATATATATATATATATATATATATATATATATATATATATATATATTATAAATTTAAGGTTACAGATAATTCTACTTCTAAAGTTGTAATTAAAATTGTAGTTAAATAAAATTAATTCTAACCTAAACTTATTTTACTTAGTATTACACGCACTTAACAGAATCCAATAAAACACCTACAGTAAAATAAAATTAATATGAAATGCCAGATGTAAGCTTTTGAATGACCCTTGTCCTTTGTACTTACATGAGAAACAATATATTACTAGGTTCATATAAAAAATAAAAGTTTACTAAATCAGTGAAATTAAGTAACTATTTTTGCCGTCATTGTCATAAATTTTACTTAAATAATATTTAAATACAAAAAAAAACTTGTAACCTAATATACATACTTATACTTGATGTAAAAATAATTCTACATACAATAAGGGATTCTAATACATTAAATTGTTCTTAAAAAATATAGTATAATAAAAATTAAAAATGAAAATATTTCAAATCGTAGTTAAATAAAACGTATTCTAACCTAAACACCCCCAAAAAATCTTTAAATTTACAAATAGAAAAAAATGCCGTAAGAATTTTTTGCCGTTAACAATAAATTTAAAAAAAATCCAGACGACATGCATTCAACGGACGTCAGATTTCATTGAAAAATACATCCCTACCCTTTACCAAAACGTAACTAAAAAACTGATACAATAATACAGACATAATGAACACCCAGACACCTGTTGTCCAGTTGAAGTAGATTTATCTGTAACCTTGGAAACGTGAATTAGGATTTTAGCTGTGTCTTTAAAACCCAGGAATTTTAAAAGTTACTCCAAAATTCGCTTGAGGATGAAATGGAACTAATGTCTTTAATTTAATTACAAAATTAAATTCGTAGCTTTTAGCTTCCATTTTTGAAACATGGTTAGAAATGTGTAGCGAAAAAAACATATTTTAAATAAATCAATTTTTAATATTAATGGTCTGTAAATTTACATTGAGCACTATTTCGCAAAAATAAAAATATCTATAAGAACACCGATTATATATCTTACTGTTCTTTCTTTTTGTTTTTACACACACACACACACACACACACACACACACATATATATATATATATATATATATATATATATATATACTTTTCACATATATCAAAATATCTATATTTTCTTTCTTTTTTGATGGAGCCAATGAAAACAAAATGAATTAAATATCTGAATAAATAAATAAAAAAGAATGTTCGAAAGAAAAAAAAGCTATATTTCTTTGTTTTTATGGAAATAAAATAATGGAGGGAATAAAAAAAATAAACTAAGAAATAAAGAAGGAAGAATTAATAAATGATAAAAATAAGTTAACATATTTATATTTTCGTTCTTTTTCTATGGAGTCAAAGATAATGAGAAAGAAAGAAATTAGATAGAAAGAAAGAAAGAAAGAAAGAAAGAAAGAAAGAAAGAAAGAAAGAAAGAAAGGGAGGAAGGAAGAAAAAGAAAGAAAGAAAGAAAGAAAGAAAGAAAGAAAGGAAGGAAGGAAGAATGGAAGAAAGAAAGAAAGGAAGGAAGGAAGGAAGGAAGGAAGGAAGGATGGAAGAAAGAAAGAATAAAGAAAGAATGAAAGAAAGGAAGGAAGAAAGAATAAAGAAAAATAAAGAAAGAAAAATTGAAAGGAAGAAAAAAAGACAGGCAGACATACAGCAACAGAAACTAGGAAACAGGCAAAAGAATCATAGATAAACTTCACATATTTAAAAAAAAAAAAGGTTTATAAAGAAAATAAAGTTACTCAAGGAAAATAAATCATATTAAAAAAATAGAAAGAAAGAACAGTAAGACAAAACAAGTAAGATTTAAAAAAAGTGGACAAAGATAAAATCTAACTGAAAAGATAGCGAAAAAAATACTTGCATATTACAAATTAACGGTAAATCAATGGCAAGAAAGCAAAGTGGTCAGAATTCATGCTTTCAAAAAAACAAAAAAAAAAAATAAGAATAAACCAGAAAGTTTATTTAGCGAAAGATACGATTTAGGGATGATAAAGAAATCAGTAAAATTAACCAAATAATAGCAAAATAAATAAATAAATAAATAAAATTAAAGATCAGTAAGAAAGAAAGTATAAAAATCGCGAAACTTTTAGAGGATAAAGAGTGTAATGAAACATTCGAAAATATAGAAAAGAAAAATCATCTACAAGTCTGAGCTTGGTCTAATTATTATCAAGCTAGCCTTGCAGGCAATTACTACCTAAATACTTTTGATTTTACTTACTTCATGGTGCATGTGGATTAATGTAATACTAATTTACATCCAGTAAGATAAATTCGGATTTTATAAGGTGACATCATTCCGACCAGCATCTGAGAAAGGGAAAAGTCAGAATTTCCAATTCAATATTTCTAATTATCTCTCTATATAAAACAGAATATGTCTCTGTGCTGGTCTGTCTGTGTGAAACCTTTTCGCTCGAGATCAATCCAACCGATTTTAACCAAACATGGCACATACATTGTACAATGTAAGAGGTAGGTTCATAGCGTAAAAAAATGATAATTAAATAGAAAAAAGCCAATAATCGATAAGGCCGATCGAAAATTGATAAATTCAATGGATATAAGTGTTGGTTCTATCCAATGACTTGGCGCAAAGTATTGTAAATTCAATACATATCTACTGTAATGGTGGACAAAAATTTCGGTTAAAGTGAGATAACTAAGACATCCGGAAGAGGCAGGGCATGTGGAGCTAGAACAATCTACGCAGGTGGATGAAATAAATGTTTCAATTCGAAATTCCAAACGCACGGAAAAGGCCGGAGCCTACAATGGCCGAAATGCCGTAAGTATGGCAATAAAGGTGAGGACAACAGTCTGAACAATGTAAATAATGAAAATAATTACAATACCTTATCTCAGAAATATAGAAAAATACGGAGTATTGATCTCTGATGTGATATCGGTTTGAAACGTCATTAATATGGCAATAAAGATGAGGACAACTGTCCGGACAATGTAAATGATGTGAATAGTTACAATACGTCATCTCAGAAATATAGACAGATCTTGATGAAGGCCGCAGCGTACAACGGTCGAAACGTCGTGAATATGGCAATACAGTTGAGAAAAACTGTCCGAACAATATAAATCATATAAATAATATGAATAACCTTGATACAATTGCCACTTCTCTTCTAACAGATTCTTTTCTCTCACTTCACATCCATGGAACGCCTTTCCTATTTATTGCTTCCCTGACAACTACAATATAAAACATTTAAGAGCAACGTCAATCGTCATCTTCCGTTTTCTTGAAGTCTTTTTGCCTTTTCCTCGTCATTTCTCAATCTTCTCATTATTATTTTTTTTTAATTTCGCTCTCCGTAATCCTCTATGTTCTAATGAAATGATCTCATTGATTCGTGTATAACGTTTTAAATCAATAAAGGATTAACAATATTATATAACATTTCAGAACCTTCTCTTTGTTTCTTATGAAACCTTCTCGTTTCATAATACATTTCTTACATTTTGACGCGCGTCATGGGTAAGACTTTAAACTACATCCGCGTCCTGCGTAAGACGATAAACTACATCCGCGTCCTGCGTAAGACGTTAAACTACATCCGCGTCCTGGGTAAGACGTTTAACTATGTCCAGCAGCAAGGCCTCTGATCAGGAGGTTTTGAGGAGCATGGAACCACCTCTTAATAGCTGGTGTTCCCAGGTCCACACTGACCCGGGGTGGTAGCACCTGTTAGGGTCCCAGTTATGGGCAAATAGTTAAGTATTACCAGTAATACTTTTTTGAAAAAAATATTACCAGGAATACAATTATGAAGGAAGTATATTGCCAAAAACAGATTTTTGACGAAACAAAATATTACCAGCAATAAAAAATTTTGTCAGCATTAAATAACCCATTGAGGTTGCTATGCCGTAAAACAAAATAAACCAAACTAAACTAATACATTTTGACGCTAAGCCAATCGGCCTATGCATTGCTGTGTCGTATACACTGTGTAATGAATTATTAACGAAGTGAGAATTTTCTTTTTTGTTTAAAAACTACACGTTGGAATTTAACGAAATTTTCACAGAATGATGGCAACAGCTCTATGCGCGTACCTTATAAAGAGTGTAAAGTTCCGCAAAAAATACAAAGAAAAAACGATCATTTACCTAATTTGTTTAAATTATAACCGTTCCAAATTACTAGCGAGGTGTAATTAAAACTCTTGTAAATAAGAAAATAGCGCTTTTATTTTATTATATAGAGTTTGCTAAGGATACAGACAGAAATAAACAGAAATCAACAAGTACACAGAGTTCAAAAATAATAGTGGA